GTTTTAGCTGTTTTTTTTCAAAAAACTGCATTATGATTATTTTGAAAGGTTTCATTTTCTAAAAAAAAACGTTTTATAATTATTTGCAAGAGTTGAATCTTTTCATTAAAACCGCTTTGTCAATAATTGCGTTTTTTCATTGTAACCGTTTTGTCAAGAGTAGTCTTTTCATTATAACTATCTTGTCAAAGTTGCGTCTTTTTGAAAATAACTATTAAGTTGTTATTTTTCAAATTAACCGCTTTATGGTTATCGCTAAAAATTGCATCTTTTCAGAAAAATCGTTTAGCCTATATATATGTTTTAGTTTCTCTGTTTTCTTTAAAAGAACCGCATTATGGTTATTTTGAAGGGTTGCATCTTCTAAAAAAAACTGCTTTATGGTTATTTGCAAGAGTTTCATCTTTTCATAAAAACCATTTTGTCTAGAGAGTTGCGTCTTTTCGTTGTAACTGTTTTGTCAAGAGTTGTGTCTTTTCATTATCACTATTTCGTCAAAAGTTGCGTCTTTTCAAAAATAACCACTTTTTAGTTTTCTGTAAGAGTTGCGTCTTTTCAAAAATGAATATTTTTGGGTAGTGATTTTTCGTAAAAAAAACCGTTAAGTAGTTATTTTTCGAAGTAACCGCTTTATGGTTATCGTTAGGAGTTGCATCTTTTCAGAAAAATCGTTTAGCCTTTATATATATGTTTTAGTTTTTCCAGCCAGTGATCATTTTGTTAATGATGGCTATTGGTTCTATAATTCACTTAAAGCGTAAGATAAATAAAAACGTCAGTCTCTTATTTTAAAATTTTTTTAGAATATTAATCTTTTTACTATTGATGAAGTTCCTAAAATTCTTGATTTATGTAAAGAATTTTGGATCTCTTTATACAATGCAGATATTATTGCGTCTTTTCGAAAAAAACCGTTTTTTCTATATATTTGTGTTCTTGACTCTATATATATTTTTTGTTGAACATTTTGTGTATTTTTATATTATTACTAATTTTAAAATTCACATAAAGCATAACAATGATAAAAGCGACATTCTATTATTTTAAAATTATTCAAAAGTATTGAATTTTTTACTATTGTAGAAGTTCCTAAAATTATTGATTTGTGTAACAAATATTGGAATTCATTATCAAATGTAGAATTTATGGCTAAATTTTAAATTTTATGATGTTTTAACTAATGCGTCATAGGGTTACATTGTTTTTATAAAAAACTATTTTATGGTTATTAAAACATCTAAATGTTGCGTCTGTTCGAAAATTAATTTTATGGTTATTAATGCATCATTGGGTTGCATTTGTTTTTGAAAACACCGTTTTATGGTTACTAAAACAACTAAGGCTTGCGTTTTTTCGAAAAATTTATTTTATAGTTATTGATCCATCATATGGTCGTGTATTTTTGAAAAACCGGTTTTATGGTTATTAAAGCTTTAAGGATTGCGTATTTATGAGAAATCCGTTTTATTGTTATTAATAAATCCTATGATTGCATCTTTTCAGAAAACCGTTTTATGATTATAAAAGAATCTTAGGATTGCGTCTTTTCGAAAAACCCAGTTTATGGTGATTAATGCATCATACAACTGCGTCTTTTCGAAAAATCTATTTTATGGTTGTTAAAACATCTAAGGATTGCATTTTTTTGGAAAATATCTGTTTGATGATTATTAATACATCAGAGGGTTACATCTTTTTCAAATAAATTGTTTTATAGTTATTAAAGCATATAAAGATTGCATTATTTGGTTAAATCTATTTTATGGTTACTAATCCATCATATGGTTGCGTTTTTTTGAAAATATTGTTTTATAGTTATTAAAGCAACTAATTGTCGCGTCTTTTGGTTGCATCTTAAAATTTATTTTATGGTTGTTAATGAATCCTAAGATTGCATCTTTTGAAAAAATATTTTTATGGTTATTAAAGCATCTTAGGATTGTGTCTTTAAAAAAAAACCATTTTAATGCATCATATGATTGCGTCTTCTCGGAAAAACTTGTTTTATGGTTATTAATGCATAATATGTTGTGTCTTCTAAAAAAATTGTTTACTGGTTAACAATGCATCCTAGGGTGTGTCTATCATTATGTGAAAATGTATGGATTGCATCTTTTTAGAAAAAATTATGGTTATTTAGACTTCAGTTAGGTCTTTTTTGTAGCTTCTTCTTACGTACATTGCCATGATTTACCTTTTGCATTGTAGCCATATTTGTATACATTGTCAATAATAATTGTTTTCAAATGACAATCCTATCAAATATATCATAGGGTTGCATTTTTAAAAAAAACTATTTTGTGGTTACTGACGCATCATAGGATTGCGTTTTAAAAAACAAATATTTATCTTTTCATTAATGTATCATAGGATTGCTTATTTTTTTAAAAATATGTTTTGTAGTTATTAACGCATAGGGTTGCGTTTTTTGTGTGTGTTTACTTCTATTTCAAAGGCTTTTATGTTATTCTTTAAATTATGTTAATAATTTGTTTTTTTCAGTCTCTATATAATTTCATATATGTTTAATTTCGTTATTACATAGTCTTCATATGTCCGATTTGGATTAACTCGACTTGAAAATTGATAATAAATAATATTTTAAAATCTTTTAAAGATGATTATAAGTTTATGTTCACATGTGTTTTAAAAAATAAATTGTATTTTTGAATATGTTAGCAAAAAAAAAAATTTTAAAATGTGGTTGGATGTTCTTTACTTCACGATTTTTGCGCCGGGGGGTCGAGTCCTAGTAATACTATAATAGAAAAGATATTTTCTTTCTTTGACAGTCAGTTTTTTTTCTTCTTAAATTGTTGTAGTAATATACTATTAAAAAGGAAAAAAAAAAAAGCAAGTATATGAGAACCGTTCGAAACGTATGCGTGTCCTTTCCTGACCTGTGTGATCGCCACTAACCCCACCACACTCCAGCCTCAGTCTTTGTTGTCGTCTATCGATCAATACAGCAACCACCTCAGAGGTACGAGATAACCCACACAATTCCTTGACACAAAAATTATTCAGAGGAATATTCTTTGATTCGATCTTCTTTCCAGATGGCCGGGAACGATTGGGTTAACAGTTACTTGGAGGCGATTCTCGACGTTGGCCAACCTCTCGACGATGCTCGACCATCGCTTCTTCTCAGGGAGAGAGGCCGATTCACTCCAAGCCGTTACTTCGTTGAGGAAGTCATCACTGGATTCGATGAGACTGATCTTCACAGATCATGGGTCAAGGTCTC